AATGAGTTCATCTAAATAGTCTGATAAAATTATTCTACTAATTGACTTGAATTTGCAAGACAATAATTTCAAGTAAGTACTTTATGGCTATTTATTCTATAGTAGGAGAAATGGGTTAGTCATTGAAATCACTGTATTTTGTAGTACAGAAGACAGGGGCCTATGTTGTGCTTAAACTGTTTGCTCCCAGCATTCAGGCATGTCCAAAGTACTGAGTGGGGAAACAGATCCCCCAAGATTTTATTTGCATGAGAGAGTAAGAAGTCTCTTGGGCAACGTCCATCCGAAGGAAGGAAGGACAGAATTATGTTCTCATAAAAATTTCCTAGTCTTCAGAAGGGAGTAGAATTTATTTTTTAGGTAATAAAAGCACACTGTGTATCACTAGAATTTGCCCTAACGACTATGAAGTGATACATTTATAGTTTCTAAACCTGCAGAATGGGGATAGTAATAGTACCTACACCATGGGGTTTGGGAGGATTAAATGAAAATTAAAAGTAAAGTGCTTAGAACAGTGCTTGGTGTGTACACACCTCCCCCAACTATTTTTATTGTTATTATTTAAGGTAACAAGGTAACATATTTCTAGGGATGATTCCATTAAGAATCAAGCTTTTTACAGTGGTATTACTGCTTTATAGAACTTGGATGATATGTATTGTTCTGCATACATATTAAATAACAGTAGCACAAAAGCTCATTGCAATTTTATAACCAGTTTTCAGCCAGTTTTAGTGTTTTAGTTTCTTTTCAGAATATTCAGTAGTTTTCCGATATACTCTGGAGAAATGGTAATGTGAAAACTATGGCATCATATTTTAGTGAAAATGCCTTTAGTGAACCCTTTGTACATTGCTTCTGAAGTCTAAATTTCATTAGAATTTATTCTATGGAAATATGATTCATGAGGCACTTGTTTGCTGATATTTGGTTGGTCTCCTTTTTATTATGTAAAAAAGGAGAAGCTTAATTTTAATTTGAAGAATGATAAAAGTGCCTCTCCCAAACTGGCATGTTGTCTTCTTCTCACTATGTGAGTCATTCAAGATGATCATGTTCCTTTTCATGAATGGACATGTGTTAGTTCTGTGCTTAAAAACACAACCCAATTGTATCTGGATTGACATATATCATCAATTAATAACTATGAAACTACAGCCTTTTGTCCAGTTCTCTGGCCCACACCTTAGATTATGGACCCCACTTAGAATATGTTACTCACTTCCTCTAATTCTTAAAGTTGTTTTAGTATTCTTTAATATTAAATATTATTTGCTGACTTAATATATTCAATCATTTGTTTTATGTTCCGAGGTCAGATGGGATTGGGAGCATTCAGGGCGGCATGGCCATAGACTGTTTTATGTTCCAAATATCACGTAGGCTCCCTCTAGGGACTGCAAATATCTAAGGGACAGTCCAGGTTCTCAAAGAGCTTAGTGTCATATGGGGGAGACAGACATTTAAACAAATCTGTGACAAGGCTCTAAGAGGGGTACAGAATAGGTACAAAAAGGGCAGAGGTGGAAAACAATTAATTCTAACTGAAAAAATTACCAAGGTCCTCTCCTCAGAGTATCAGCCCTTTACTCAGATCTGGAGAGGTGGGTTTCCACAGTATATGTATCCTCAGGCAAGGAGGTAAGGGAATTAGTACTGTGTGTTAGATGGTGGCAAGGGACCCAGAGGGTGGTCTTCAAATGCATTTTCACAGGCAAAGCAGAAGTCGAACTCCGACCACTTAATCCTCCTGACTGCTTTCAAGTTGCTTTCTAGTCAGTAGGGAAAATGATATACAAGATGTGTGATAATCAAGACATTAACTGATAAGATACAAAAATGGGGAATCAGATCTATTGGTTCTCTTTAGATTTGAGTCAGAAAAAAATTAAATTATCCATCTTTCAGGCTGTGGAAACAATATAAGATCTCTTATTCATTTATCACCCACGACCCACTGTGATTCAGAAAATGATTCTTCTGCCTCCTCCTCACACTTAGAACTGGCAGGTGGCACATGCTCAAAAGCTATTCATGACTAGGTTAGAAAAGGGAAGGCAGAGGAGAAGTAGAAATCAGAGTCTAACTGTGAATAATTTTTTTTAACCGATTTCTCTTTCACGCATCCAGCAAAAGCAAATATTCCTAACACACGTTTCTATAGTTCCAAACATGTCCTTGGATTTGTTGTTTCTCTATTTTTAGCGAAGGCATTCAGAAGTAGTTTAGGTAGCAACTTGATCCACTGAACACTCATCTGGAAACTTGTCTTGGAATTCTTTTCTTGATGAAGATTAAATATCTTGGAACAAAGCTGAAACAAAGGTTAGAACTGGTACTACGTTAAGACTTGTCTATAAAGGTATGTGGTATGTGGTGTATTTCATTCCCTGCCAAATGCCATGTGCTTTAGTATGGCTTGGAAAAGTAGTTTATATGAGAAACACAAATCTGGTATGTCTCTTTTCAATATTCCTTCGGAATGTAGCACTTATCTAGCTAACATGACTCTTGAATATTGCCAGCTCCATCCTACTCTTGTCAGTTCAATAAAAGCAATTTGATCACAGCCAAGTGTGGCCCTGGGATTCCTTCAGCTGTTGAGTTGGTACATTCTTGTTAGAGGGAAGGTATTATTTCTTGCACTGCCTGAACTCTGAATAATTGACTTAAGAAGAATGAGACAAAATATCCTTGCTACAGTGCACCAACTACTAAGATGGCCCTTAATGCTCTGCCTCTTGGTGTCCATGCCCTTGTGTAATCCCCTCCTCTTTTGTGTGGGATGAACTTAGTGCCATGATTCTAAGGAATAGAATGTGGTAAAAGGGATGGAAATCACTTCCAAGATTAGGTTTCAGAAGTCGTGACTCCTGTCTTGCTAGCACTCTGCCTTTTGCTAGCATTCTCACTCTACGGCGCTTGCTTGCTTGCTCTGGGGAAGCAAGTTGACATATTTTGAATTGCCCTGTGGAGAGGCCCTTATGGCAAAAAATTAGCCTCTGGCTAATAGCCAGTGAGCAAATGAGGTCCTACCCAAAGCCTTTGAGGAAATGAATCCTGTCAATGACCAAGCATGGGAGTGAGGTTGGAAGCAGATCCTTCCTTAGTTGTACATTGAGATGACTGCAGCCTGTAAGAGTCCCTGAGCCAGAGGACCCAGCTAAGCCATGCTCAGATTCCTGATCTATAGAAACTGAGATAATAAGTGTTGTTTCAAGTCACTAAGGTTTGAGTTAATTTGTTACACAGCAATGGGTAACACACACATTTGATGATAAAAGTGGTAAGGCTTGGGCCTGGGGCACAAATGTTGGAAAGAGAATATGTATATGTTATAGATTTGTGTCTGTCTGAGTTGCCACCCAGATGGGATCTTTGTGACAGATGTTCTATGTACACTGTTTATAATCATTGCAACAACCTGGCAAGGATGGTGCTATTCACATATTTCAGATGAAACTGAGGTTATGGAAATTCTGTTACTTGGCTCAGAACATATAGTTAGAAGATGACAGAGAAGAGAGAGAATCCAAAGTCTTTCTTGCTCTGAAGCCTGGGCTCTTTCCTCTGCGTTAGAGAGGAGGCAGGGTTGGGGTTGAGTAGGGTGGAAATCAAAATCACCTGTGGGTGTACTTAAGGTTAGTCATGTCATTTTCTTTTTCTGGAGTTCCTGACACTGTTTAAACTGCACCACACCACACAGTAGGGCTACACTAGAAGACTATTGCACTTATACAGGTTCAGCCGTATCCTATACATCTTGGGCCTGTAATAAAATAAAAATTGCACATTGCAAGCAGGTTCTATTTGAGGATCTGGTAGTTCTTAGAGCCCCTGTGGCGATTGGCAAGATGACCATGTGATTTTGGCATTCTGGTATTAGGTTGTTTTGATTAAGTGAAAAAATAAAATAATATCGCCCAGAGCTCCACTATTTGATGTGCTCCATATATAGCCTGATGTGTGCCAGACCCTGCCTTGCCTATAACCCAAAGTTGGCAAAGTGGGTTCGGCTAAATAAGAACGACTCAGGAGTAGAGTGGGTGTGTGGAGGGTGCTACTTTCATTTGGTGGTGGGAACAAGATGATGAAAAACAGAAGGGGTACACCATAGCACTTTAGGAAGATGTGGGTAGCTCTGGATGCTCCTCTAGTAGCTTCTGGAGCTGAGCAGGTAGCTGAAGAACTGGTTAGAGTCTGAGAACAGGCTGTGGCTGTGTTTTGCCAGCTACAACACCAGGTCCAAGGTCTCTCTTCTATCATCAGCCCTTCAACTCTTGCAGTAGCTTTCCCCTCCCTGGCCCTGGAGAGAGGCTCTCATTGCTCATGGGTTCTTATGCAAGTTATAATTTGCTTCCATAGCCGTTGCCTCTTCACACATACACGTGAAGGACATCACAATTAACTAAGTCCATAGTTTCTCCTGGGGGAGGCGATTGGAGTGGTTTCTTCTTCAACTATTTCCTATCTCATTGCATTTTGCATGGAAGATTTTTCTAAAGAGTGGCAGTACCCAATAAGGTAGCCACTAGCCACACATGAGGCTATGCCGCATGTGAAATGGGGTTAGAGAAATTGAATTTTTCATGTAATTTAATTTCCATTCATTTAAACTTAAGTGATTGTATGTAGCTGGTGACTACTGTGTTGGATAGCACAGGTCTAGAGGCTGTTCTCATTATATTGTTCTTTTGTTAATTTATTTTTGGCTAATATTTATGGAACATTTTCTACGTGCCAGACACTATACTTAGAATTTTGCATATATTCATCCAAGTTTTGCAAAATCTGATGAGGCTGATTATACCATTTACATTTCTCGGAGCAGAAAGTTGAATCTCAAAGAGATGAAGTGACCTGCATCAAATCACACAGGCAGGAGAGAGGATTCAAAATAGTCTGCCTGCCTCCAGTCCTGTGCTTCTTGTACAGAAGAAGAAGGCTAAATCAGCAGGAATAGAGGGTGAAAAGAAACAGACACAAGACAATGAAAATATAATCCTTGTTATAATAGGTTCTTTCATTTTATTGCTTATTGCAAACACTTTGGCCGCAGCAAATGTGTTAGTTTTTAAATAACCATAATTTGAAGCTTTCACATCATATACTATTTTCCCCCAAGAAACATCATCTATGAAAAACAATCAGTGAACTCCAAAAGTCTATACTGGTAATGTGCACATTTATGCTATTGTGACACTAAATACAAACAGTAAAAATACTCATCTATTGAAGGTCTGTGGGTTTGTGATATGCCTTAAGGGAGGCCATAAACAACTCAAAGAAGAGAGATGGTGTGGACCGAAATGGCTTCTAGGCGGGGAATATTTGCAGAACATAGGAGGTATGCAGTAAATGTTTATTGATGGTGAAGATGATGAAAATTCTATTTCTGCTGGTCTTTTCTCTCCATTTCTCTTAAGGAATATACGGTGCACTTGCAGCCAACAGTCTCAAATCACACAGACCCTGGCACTTTTGAGTGTTTTATTCAGCAAAATTCTTGGCATCACTTTGAAGTTTCACTGAATTATGATGATGATACTGGATTAAACATTTTGGATTTAAACATTTAAAGTGACACAAAAAGTCTGATTATCTATTCCCAATGTTCAATATACAATTTTTAAATACATGGAAAGACCCACATAAAAATTGTAGAAATGTTAGGTCACTTGCAGCAAAATATGGCACATTAGAATTATTTATTAAATGTTTTTATATCTAAAGGTAGGCACTTCATAAAATTTGCATTTTGGTAAAAGGTGACAATTTGATGTCAATATCTTAACCTTTTCTACGAACTGTAACTTTTTTAAGAGACTATATTATCGAAATTTTACAAAAAAAATCCCAAATTTGTCTAAGACTTTCACAAAAGGGAATCCAAACTTCATTTCCACCTCTCACTTCTTTTTGTAGCCTGCTGTATATCTTTATGGTGAAGTTCTGAGATTTCACTCCCTAACCTAAAATCCTGTGGGAATGTTTGGCTTCTCATCTTTTACTCTGAAGCGAAATATGTCTTGCCTGTAGAACTTGATACATTTTTTTCCCTTCACAGTTGGAATAACCTTTACCTGATCCTCTAAATAAAACCAGATGATTTTTAGGTGGCAGTAGCTAGCGTTGAAGAGCTCTTGGCTTTAAGCAGCTGTTTAATCCCTTTGATCCTGTTTTAACTTTCTAACTAAACAAATAAGATTGAACTATTCCTGTTGTTTTCATTCCTGAATACATATAAATTCACTTCACGCCTACCTAAAACATAAGCAGAACTTGTGCGGCCCAATGGACCCATCTGCCATTTGACTTAGATATTCCTTCTAGAGCATATCTCTAGCTGATAGTCAGCCAAGTTGTGTTTGAAATCTTGGCAACAGGGAGCTTCATAAAAATAATCTAGTGAGTCAGAAAGCTCCAATTGCTGTTTCTTATACTAAAACCAAAGTTCCCTTTCTGTAACTTCCATCCAGTGCCTCAAACAGTGCCAGGCACATAGTAGGCTCTCTGGCACTCAATATACATTTCCTGATGAATGAAAGAATGAACAATTCTAGTTCTGGTTTTTAAAGCTACATAGAATAAAGTTGCTTCCTTATGCAGCCCAAGCCATTCTCCTTTCCTGCCTTAAGTCTTCTCTTTTCCAGGATTGATATCAAAATTTCCTTCATCTAGTCCTTAAACAACATGATTATCAGATGTTTCACCCATCTCATTACTCCTCTTTGTGCTTAAGTGGATCAGTAGATCTCTTAAAATGTGGTCTCATAGAACCAAACGTAATACTCCAGATGAGGTCAGCTTTGAGCCGAGTAGGAACCCTGTATCTCTTAGCATGGGCATTCCACCTGGAAAAGTATTCCTTAGAGTAATACTTTCCTGTCTGTTTCTGAGTAGAAACATTTTATTCCAGGCAAGATCACTAGTTAGTACATGTTCTGAGCTGGGGGAAGGATTATTTCCTTGAATTTCCGGGATAAGGAGGGGGTGGAGAACGCTGCGCTGAAGCCTGTGGGGTCGGGGAGTATGGAGGAGGCAGGTCTGCGTGGTACTCCATCTCGTGGTCGTAACTATAGGGGGGTGGCGCTGCTGAAAAAGAAAGGGAAAAGAGCGTCAGGCGTTTAGCAAATATTTGAGTGTCTAGTGTGTTGAAGCCACTGGGCTAAATACTTTGTGAGGAGACATAATTTTCAGCTGCAAAAATCTTAGTTTTGTAAGATTAAGGACACTTATGTATGAAAGAATGAATGCTCCCAAATCTGGTGTCATGGGTCAAAGTGTTTAGAGTTGGTGGTTTAGGGAAACTTTCTTGGAAATACGATGCTGAAGGGTCAGAGAGAGAAGCAGCTGAGGAGGGACAATTCAAGTTTGAGCAAAAGCACGGAAGCAGGAGAGGTCTTTGGTTGAAGCAAAAATTACATCGAGGGGAGAAAGGGGAAAAGACACCGAGGAGTCTGCTTGTATCATCTTCATGGTGGGCCTTGAAATTCATGTAAGTAGTGCATGAAGTGGAGTCAACAGAGATTTTTTGACTATGCTAGTGAATAGGCTTTGGGAAGACGAGTCTCTCCGTAGTATGGATAAAGGAAGACCTAGGAAAATGTGCAATGATGTAATAGCATACTTGAAAGATTATAAGGGACTCATGACAGTGATGGGGAAAATCATAAAGCGCTTGAGCAGCTGAGGTGATGATGGGTGGGTGGAAAAAGTGGTGGGAGAGTGAAAGGAGGGTTGGGGAATTAGGCATCCAATCTGGGACTCCCCTGTAACTTGGAGGATGGTGAAGCCATTACAGAAATAAGACATTTTCTTAAATTAATTTTTTACTGTACTATATGTCAGGATGCTTTTAAATTGCATTTAATACACTTTATAATGACTATACGTGGATGTCTGTTTTGTAGTAATCTCAATCCCATCTCCAGGGTTGAAGGAAAGGTACCCCTTGAGCTGAAATTCATCCATATCTTCAAGAACTGAATCATTCTGTGACATCTGAGTAATGCTCCTGCAACCAAATCTGATGATTCGCCAGTAGTTGAATCATTATCATGATCCTGATTCTGTTTGGAAATTGACGTGTCTTAATTACCTATCATGAATGTAGCCCAAATCACAAGGCTGGTGTCATAATAATGCAAATAAATGGCCAAGTTTTTAACATTAAAATGGCAGAAAAGAACAAGCAACACTTCAACAAACATTACTAAATGTCTTATAAATTGCACTCTTCTCAGCAAGAATTTGATAGTGTTCTGATGAAACAGGCATACACAAACACAGGGCCTCAACAGATACGGAGACACAAGCTACGTTTTCTTCCGGATCCCTTTAGTTTGCTTCTCTTTACCAAGAGCTTGATGATTTGACTCATTTACTGATCTCCCTATACTTGGAGGATGTGAGGAAGCAGAATTGAACCACTGGAGAAAGGAGGAAGACAGAGTCAAAGAATTGGGTGGGATGTCCTGGAGTATTGCTTCATTGAGTGGGCTGAGCAGGCTGAGGGCACTCAGCAGAGGACATAGCTCTGCAAAGAAATCAGAGAGGATGCACACAGCTTCTCCAGTGCTCCTCAGACCCTCAGAGTCTGGGTGACTCCTATCTGTTCTCTACAACAAAATGGAATAATTCCTGTGGAGTCTGAATACACATTTTCTGTGCATTACACCCACTCCTCGGCTTCATTATATCTAGGACTGAGACAAAGAGATTTATAATGAACTTCATCCAAGCTAAGACGGAAACACCACAGTCTCCGTGGAAAATAGGAAGTTCAGCTGGATACCCATTGAATTGTTTATTACAAGCATGTGGTTCTACGGTGGTTTTATGCCAAAGCTTTTCCCTGCCTCCCACTTGAGGAGCACACAGCAACTGATACCACTGATTGATTCTACATCATTCGCTGTCGTGAAGTCACGGCATGTGTTTATGTGTTTGTAACAAAGCGTTTATATTCTGCCATCTGCATAAAAACTGCTGGAGGGCATTTCAATAAGAATTCCTATGGTTTATTCAGCTGCATTTTGAACATGAACATCTGAGATATAAAACAACATTCTTTCATTCATATATCCTTTGAACTTTGATAAAGTGATAATATAATGTTAAAGAGTAGTATTTTGGCCGGGCGCGATGGCTCAAGCCTGTAATCCTAGCACTCTGGGAGGCCGAGGCGGGCGGATTGTTTGAGCTCAGGAGTTCGAAACCAGCCTGAGCAAGAGCGAGACCCCGTCTCTACTAAAAATAGAAAGAAATTAATTGGACAACTAAAAATATATAGAAAAAAAATTAGCCGGGCATGGGGGCGCATGCCTGTAGTCCCAGCTACTCGGGAGGCTGAGGCAGAAGGATTGCTTGAGCCCAGGAATTTGAGGTTGCTGTGAGCTAGGCTGATGCCACGGCACTCACTCTAGCCCGGGCAACACAGTGAGACTCTGTCTCAAAAAAAAAAAAAAAAAAGAGCAGTATTTTGAGGACTATGCATCATGAAATAAACATGGCACATCTTTTATAACATCAGCAGCTGGAGGACATTTGAAATAATACTTGTATAATTGTGGATATGTGCTCTTTCTTTATTGCAGATTGGATTTCACTAGGACAGAAGCTTTTGGAGGTATCAATTTTAGAACAAAACAAAATAAATTTTGTTCTTTTTTTACAGATCAAATCATCTTTAAAAGATGTATGGATGCAGTTGGACACATGGTATCTTTGAAATTCTTTCATAATCAATATTCTAATTCTCTGATTTAAATATGCCATTTATCCTCAATATCTGATATAGTTGTCTACAAGGTTAAAAAAGTTAGGATGCTATGAAATTCAGAGAAGAAGTGTCATGTTTTTAACCCATTCAGTCCAGTTTTCTAAAGCTGGTGTGGTGGGAAGATGCATAGTGTTATTGAAACTATTCAAGATTATTTTGGAAAATTTAGAACAGAAGAAAATCATCTATAATTTTGTCAGCCTAAATAACAAATAATATCTTTTCATACTATTTTCTAGACATTTGTGTGTATTTATATCCTTGTAGTCATGGAATATGGTATATACTTTTTCACTTTGTATTATGACATGCCTTTTTTATTCTTCTACGTATTTTTCATAAACTTTATTGTTAGTGGCTGCATATTATTCCACTGGCCATTCACTTACTTGAAGGTTAAATTGTTTTATTATAAATAATGGAATGAGGAATATCTTCTTGCACACAGATCTTTTAAAAAATTATTTTGATTATTTCTTTAGAATAAAATTCCAGAAATTGGTTAACTGGCTTAAATAACGTAAATTTTATTGCTTAGAGAACATTGTAAAACTGTTTTCAGAAAGAATTATTTCATTTTATAAGAGTGCCAGCAAGGCATACAGGGACACTATCATTTAATATTTTGGTAATTTAATAAGTGAAAAAATACAGCTCTTTATTTTACTTTATTTATCATTTATTTGATAATATTTAGTTTTGACATTGTTCTACATCTTGTCCACTGTAATTCATATTGGATAAATTTTTTTTGTCCTGTACTGATAATTTATAAATAAGGATCTTAATTAGAATTAAGATATAATTAAGATATAGACAAGTATACAAAATTATATATCTTTTAAGAATGACTCTGTTAAAATGGTTTATTTTATTATATAATTTTTACTTTATTGACATACTGAAGTTTGAGACATGTATATAACAAAATCTATGGTTCTTCATTTTTTTAATCTCTTTTGTGTTGTTTACAAGTGTAAAAATTAGTCTTCTTTTTCACATATTTTATACATAATCATCCTATTTATGAATTTATCCATTTAAATTTATATATTTAATGCTTTTTAACATCTGCTATTTTACTTGGTACATTTTTGCCTCAGAGTTTATTCTTTCTAAGTTTTTAATGTCAGTTAAGCCAAATTATTTGATTGTGGCCTATTAAATAATCCTCACTTTTTACAGTTTTGTTACGTCTCCTTTAGACTATGTAAAATTCTAATCCACCTGTTGTGTTCCAATGACCAAGGCATATCTTTTTGTACCAGAAATGCCTTGCTTTAATTATTACTGATTTTAAATGGTTTTAGTATTTGGTAGAACTGGTGAATCTCGTGACTTATTTTTAAAGACAATTTCTAATATTTTTGCTAGGTGCCAACCTTCTTGTCTGCTCTCCTCCAAACCCCACTACTCGCAATTCACCCGAACCCCTCACAGAGCAGAGGATTTAAATAAAGGCCCACAAAGCTCCTAGCAAGACTTTTACTATCCTTACCTGAGCCAAGTAAGTTGCTAAGATATATTTGAATCTGTCATTCCTGTTCTCCTCAGATAACATCAAGACAATTCCCATCGAGTTTTATATCCCTCTGTCACCATGAGAGGGACAAACTCCTAGAACATCCTTATTGTAGACCTCTAACCGGGGAAGCCTTTGCACATCTAATCTTATTGATTTTCCAAACTTTCTCCACTCCATTCCTCTGTGCTCAGTGGGAAACAGTCTATCATTCTCTCCCTCTTTTTATTGCTCTACCGCATTACTGCGGCTCAGAACATGAGGAAACTCTCTTCTAGTCATGCCTGTTTTCTCAAAGAAAAAAGATCTGTTGAAAAATCATCTGCTGAGAGTAAGAAAGGCTGAGGGGATTTTTGAGTTTTGAGAAGAGAGAAGAATGCATGATAGTTACCTTGGAATGGAAGGCAACATTCAGTTGACCTTTTTACTCTAATTAAGATCTGATTTTCATGACAGGACAGCTTCCTGGGCAGCACTACCAAATCAGAGCTGTTTTTTTTCTTCCCCATCCTACAACCTACAGGGCTAGGGGGTGCTCAGGGTGTGTGTGATATTCATAACCACTTTTCAAACCATTATCTTCCAAACGCTCTTGAAAAGCCTGAGCTCTGAGTTCAAGACCACCCTGAGCAAGAGCGAGATCCCGTCTCTACTAAAAATAGAAAACTTAGCTGGGTGCAGTGGTGCTGCTGGTAGTCCCAGCTACTTGGGAGGCTGAGACAGGAGAATAGCTTGAGCCCAGGATTTTGAGGTTTCAGTGAGCTGTGATGATGCCACTACACTCTAGCCTGGGGGGCAGAGTGAGACTCTGCCTCAGAAAAAAAAAAAACAAAACAAAAAAAACCCAAAACAAAAAGCAAAACCTCTGAACGTTTTTGCAGCACATGTGCTATACTTTCCACTCTTCTTGCTGGCAATATCTGTGGCCCACCCTGCCCCAAACCCTCATTCACTGAAGATTTAGCATCTGGCCCATGCTCTTTCCACCATGACTTCTATTATTCTCTGAGATTTCAAAATCCATGTAACCCTGCTTCTCAGTCCCTTGACTATTTTGGAAGGTCACTGTCCAACAAAGGGTCAAGTATGGCAGCTGAAGGACATTTTTTTCCTGCCTAGTGCAGGGTAATAATGTTCACCGTAATAATGTTCCCCACTGAGGACTTTCACCACAGGATACGATAACCTTTACTATATAATGTTCTCATTTTTCTGGCCTCTAGGCTGTAGGACTATACAGGAAGTTGGGTTGTTATCTCAATTATCACAGGGTTAATTAATTAATGTGGGTAAAATCATTCTGTATTTCCACAGATGAAAGATTTTGAAAAGCATTGAACGCTATTATATGCTGTTTGCTGATCCTTTAAGTAAAAGCTTAATTAGTGACTTTGAGAAGGAAATGAGAAGTAATCATGTACATTATGTTTTTGAAGACTTAGTCTTCTTGCAGTAAAAATGCTTCCAGCATAAGGTTCACTGTGTTTCTTGTACTATTCAGTTCTTAGAACAATGCATTTACTGAAAATGCAACACGCTGCTGTGGTCTGCCAGTGTAAACAATGCCACTATAAACCTTTAAGAACATTTCCATGCACAAAATAGAAACCTCAAACCCAAGAAAACACATACCATCACTTTAAAATAGTGACCTCCATTTTGTATCTTGTAATTTTATTCAAAGTTTGGACTTACAGAAGGGTAAAATAAAATATATTTTATAAAAGTATTTAAAAATGCTTTTAAAAAATATTTTTGATCAAGCAAGTGAGTATCTAGACTGTTTCTATGAAGCACTTCTCCCTGTCTTCTCTCCAATTGTCTCTGCTTGACTTTCCTCCGTTCTTCTCTTGGGTTATGGATTGACCCAGGGAAAAATAGAGATTCATGAAGAATAAAAAATAATTCCATCTATTTTTTTCCCTTGTATCCCAACATCTTTACATCATCCCCAGCAATATTCTTGCAAGTTGGGAAGATTTGAAATGGCAAATTGCTTTTGTAGTGAGAAAAAGCTACGTATTCCCGGGTGGAACGTAAGATCAATTCCCGAGGTATTGATGTATGACTAAATCGGGTCTTGTCATGAGCTGTGTTTGTCATTCATTCAGCTGAGTGCTCACCATCTGCCAGGCCTGGTCTTACACACTTGGGTTAGAGTAGTGAACAAACTAGAACAAAACAGAGTCAACATCTAGAAGGAGGAGATGGACAATAAATAATAAACATAATGATCAGGTAAACTATATGATATCTTAGAAGATTTAAAGCACCCTGGAAAAAAAGCAGAGTGGCACAGGAGGATTGGGGTGTTGTGGGGAGGGATACATCATGATCTCAAACAGGGTGAGTGGGGCAGGCTTCATTCAGGAGGTGACCTGTGATCAGAAACTTGAATGAAGTGAGGGAGTCTGTTCTAGGCAAAGCCCTACGGTGGGAAGGTGGCCTGTGTGTTCATGGAACAGCAAGGGGAAAAGTGTGACTAGAGCCCACTAGCCGGGAGAGAGGAGAACGAAATGAGGTCGGAGAAATGAAGAGAGGAACCAACTCATGAGGCACCTCGAAGGCCCTGGTAAAGCATTTGCCTTTTACTTTGGATAAAATGAGAAATCACTGGCTTTGGCTTTTCCTCTAGGGCAAACTAAGAGCCACTGGAAGATGTTGACCACAGGAGTGATATGATCCGATATCTACTTTAGAAGGTTCACTCTGGCTACTGGCTTGAGAATAGACCCTGGGTGCCAAAGGAGGATGCTGGAAGACCAGTGAGGATGTTGTCACAGTAACGGAGGAGGAGTAAGAACAAGGTAGTAGCAGAGTTTATTTCTCACTGTGAGAAGTAGTCAGATACTGGATGTATTTTGATGATAGAGCCAAGAAGTTTTCCTGGTGGACTGCATGTAGGTTTGAAGGAAAGAGAGAAATCAAGGATGACTTCAGGGATTTTGGCCTGAGTATCTGGAAGGCTAGAGATGTCATCAGTTGAAATGGTGAAGGCTTTGGGTGGAGGGGAATTTGGGGGGAAGATCGGAAATACAGCTTTAGACAGGTTAAATTTGGGATATTTATTAGACATTCAACTGATGATGGCCAATAGGCTCTGGGATAAAATGAATCTGAAATTCAGCAAAGAGATTTGGAATGGAGATATATAATTTGGGAGGTGTTAGCATATAAGTGATACTTAATACCTCAAGGCCCAATGACACGACCAAAGAAGTAAGTGTTGTCACAGTGTGCAAGAAGACATAAGACTGAGCCCTGAGGTACTGCTGGGCATGAGGATGTGAAGATGATGGAGAAGAGGACACATTGACAAAAGAAAAACAGGAGAAACTATTATTCCTATGATTCATCTGAAATTTGCTCCCTCAAGCTGAAGATGATAGAGAAAAGATTAAGGGAAGAAAGAAGGATTAGGGAATTAATGCACAAGGCAGATTGCATGTAGAAGGTACCCTGTTCTTTTTCTATAGGGACTGAGAGAGGGGGAACATGAGTGTAGATAGGAAATTATCTTCCTAAGGGTGTATTAAATTTAGAACTTGCTTGCCTTTTATGTGTCAAATTGTACATGCACAGATTGACCTAGAAAGCACTATTGAAATCATCTACTGCAAAATGAAGTATTTTGTTTATGGATTCACATGTACTCAATATATTTATATGTGGAAATTTAGCATAGTCTCAACAAATACTTGTCAAATTATTAATGTATTGCCTTTGATATTTGTTGAGAATTTTAATATTAGATTAAAGCTATACTCTTTGCATAGTGAGGACATATACAAACTTTCCTCAGTACTTTTCTCAAGACATCTATATCTATTGAATTGGATGCCAGTTTATTGAGACATATAACTTTCTCTATAATAACTTGTCAGAACTCACCAGCAGGTAGACACGGTGGGTGTGAATTGTCTGTCTTAATTCTGGCTGACTGGCAATTGTAGTCAATGAGACAGCCACTGAAAATATGAGTGTCTTCACATACAAGATGAACTTTATTACTTGGATCTAATCTCTGTTCAAAGCTAGAGTGTCAATCTTGAATTACTTAAAAATATACTATAAAATGGGAGATTATTTCAGTGAGAGTCTGTAATGTTTCCTTGTCTCTCTAAGGAGTGGAGCATAACTCACAAATCTGACTTCTCCTTTGGGAGTAAACAGTTTTGCTTACCAGGATAGGAGATGGTGTTGATGTGGGTGGTTCTGATGACACCCACCCGGGTGCCCCGATTGTTCTTTATGCACATGCAGATGCAGATGGCAATTCCAGCAATGACCCCCATGATAAATACAATTCCAAACACGATGCCAGCAATTGCAGTGCCCCTGAAAAGGAAAGACAAAATATGTTTATTAAAAAGGTTCATAAGGATTCTTCAGTCTTTCAAACAAAGCTCCCTGACTACAT